TATCCCATGCCAAATAATTCAATAATTTACAGTTGATTTTGTCTGCCCCATTTGGTGCATTTATTGCACAGAAAAATCTGATTTTTTAAGCCTCCAAAACTGACTTTTGACATACGAGATATTGGAGAGAGCTGGGTCAATGCTGTATATATTGATCTCATCCCAACCATCTCTCTTATTTGGTACTTTTTTTTCGTTTATAATATTCAAAAAATCTTAAAGGATTAATATTAAATTATTAAATTATGATTACAGAATGTATAAATATACTATTCTAAAAATATTATATTTTTGAGAAACAAAATGTCTGTTGCAGTAATTACATGTTATGTAACGTCCATAACATCTACAAAAGTGACATCAAATTTATTACTATGCCCCCTTCTTTCAGGCGACTCCTCCTCCAGACTTGATTGCTGACATGGCTGCTGAGCTGCCCTTGTGGCAGTCATTCTCGCTGTCCATTTTATAATAACGTCATGACAAATATTAGAGTCGTAGATTACTACTTGGATTAAGGGCCAGATTATCGCCAAAGTTAATTGGAGAGAGAGACGTAAGCCTTAAAATGTAATAAGAAGGCAACAGTGTGGAGTTTTGTGTGGTAAAGTGGTGGAAGTACATGAAATCTATAAGTTGAAGAAGGGCAGCACAGAATATGATATTTGAAACCCCCAAATTTGAACTTTGGGATACCATTCACTGACACCCACAGCAGTGAATGCAAATTGGCGAGTTTCAAACAATCCAAAACACACAAAATTAAAAGCAATTAATATGCAGATGGTGGAAGTGAAAGTGGACACCCAGAATACGAACAAGAATGAAAGTCGAGAAAGAAAGAGATGCATGTGAAGTTGATTCCATGCATGTGAACCGATGGTGACATGTGGATTTTGAACGACACTTGGCGATGCCTCATCCATTGCCTTCTTTTCATTTACTCTGCTTAATTTGCACCTTCTTTGGATTCAAACATTTAAGTATTAGAGACGAGCACTGTGAGCACGACCCTCCGCCCGCCTCTATGTCACCCCTTTAATCCACCACTTCAACTTCGTTTACATTTTATTCCCATACTCGTTATAATTATCCACATTTTTTATTGTAAATGTAAAATATCCTACATTGTTGGTAAAATAAAGGAAGCGATTTTTTTCGTGTTTATGTAAAGAATTTTAGTTCTTGGTTTCTAATTACAATTCGATAAATATTCATTTTTTATTAAAATTTTAAGAGATGTATTAATGTACTTGAGTCCCTTCTAAAAATCCTAATTTTCTCTTTTCCCTTGGTGACTGTTAGTTTTCTTCTTCATATTTGTGATTAGCGGCAACACTAATTTTAGTGCTAGTCATCAACTATCGGTATTCATTTTTTTATTATATCTTATCTTTACTTTTATCTTGTTTTCTAATTTTTAATAAATCCACCTTTATGATATGTTTTATTCTACATTTATAGCATGTTTTTCTATATCTTTAGCGTTTATTTATTATCATGTTGGTTTTTCATGCTTTGGACTCTCAAATTGAATTTAAATATACAATTTACAATTACGGATACTCAAAATTACACGAGAATAAAATTCTTTTAGAAGGTGCAACTACCGTTGCACTCCTCAATCCATCCATGAGCATAATCAATTTACTTAGTTAATTCAAAAATCAAACTATTTTGTTTGACCTTATTTGTAAATATCTTATATAATATAAGTTTATATATTAGTTTTAAACTATATATAATGATAAATGTACATTTTGAATTAGATTCATATTTGAATCTGTTATAAATCTGCATCGGATAATAACTAATATATGAATTTTGAATTCGTAATTGTTGATTATTTTTTTTGGTACAACAAAAGTTTAGGTAAGGGTGACTCACCCAGTCCAGGGCTGAAATTACATAAAACCAAATTAAATAGTTAATATTCTATTATAAATTCTATGTGAAAAAATAAAATTACTTTATTCTGTAATTGATATTATTTAGTTTGACCATATATGTAAATATTTAAAATGGTAACCTATTTCGTAAGTTTTCGGAATATACAAAAAGAGGTGGGGAAAAAAGTATAGCACAAGCCTAAAATATTATTAGCGTGTTGGGGGGATTTTAAGTATTTTGAATATGCATTGTATTCGAAACTCTTAACTTCGCATCAATATTCTGAATGCATTAAATAGAAACGAGTAAATTTCTAAAAGACTATCTCATGAATAAAGAAAAGGAGACATGAAATACCTTGGTATAGAAATGGTGTTACGGTCCACGGTGATGGGGCAGTAATAGTCAAATGTAGGGGTGCCCCCACCCTGGGGTGGCCCATCGTCTATGGACCTGCCTCTCTACTCAGCCTCCAGCCCACCACACGGGCCATTAAATATTCCCTCCCTCGTGCTTTGAATAGGGAACTTATGCGTACTATATACTATATGCCAATTACATGATTTAAAAAAGCATAAAATGCAAATTGAACTATAAATAGCTTAGGGAAAGAAAAATAAATCACGTGGGATGTCCGACTCAATCAATAGAGAAGACCTTTTGATTCTTGTACAACTTTGTATGTGTTTCTATTGTTGAACACATACCCCATGATATCAAACAATTACCCTCCAAATCAAGATAATTGATACTTCCTATTTTAAAGGCGTCGAAAAGTCACCATCTCTCTTCCTGGTCATTTTCCCGTTGAAATTATTCTAAGTTGGTGTTTTGGGAAACTTAATACTGATTTAGAGGCATGGCCTGAAATTTATGAAGGTTGATTTTCCCCTCAAATGGCCCCAAACCTAAACTAATGATTTAAGTTCATTTTCTTTTCAAATACCAACTGATATAACAAAGGTGCCACATATACAAAGAATTAGCAAATGTAAAAAAAAAAACAAAAATCTATCACATACTTGTGTAGTTCTAGCTCATCAGTAGCGATGCCAGTATCTGTCCCATCGTTTTCTCGGATGTGTCACCTTCATTCTCTACATTCACACCGGACTCTAGCACTGCAGCATCCAGGGTCAACTTCCTTTTTGCAATCTCATAAACATTCTAATCAACAGTACCTTTAGTAACCAGCCTGCAAATGATCCAAGTGTTCACGGTAAAGTATGTAGAATTTGCATCTGGAACTTCATAATGTGTTGAGCCGAAAAGGAGAACAGAAAGAGAAGGAAAAAGAAGAGCATTTTCGAGCACCTGTATATAGTAACTGGCCTAGTTTGGCCAATTCGGTGGGAACGATCTTCAAACTAACGGTCAATCTGTGGATTAAAATCCATGTCATGAATAATTACAGTGTCAGCTCCTGTCAAATTCAAACCCTGCCCTCCAGCTCTCGTGGACAACAAGCACGCAAACATAGAAGTATCGTTATTGAAATCATCTACTATAGTCTGCCTATCAGTCACCGGAGCACTGCATAAAGAAAGATATGTCTAATGCTCAGCTGATGTAATAGATATTTACAGAAAAAGGAACTGGAAGCCTCATAGTAAAAAACTGGGACCAGCAATTTAAGAGAAAACAAAACATTTATCCCATAAAGAAGGAAAGAGAAAGGTCCGTTATTTAAATTTGAATAATTATATTTACAGAATATGAGTACATTATCCATGATTAAAAAGATGCGCCAAATGGAGAAATGAATATGCTTATTAAGAAATAGTATTGTATGTTAAAGAAAGTGATTTGTTAAGAAGACACATGTTGGAACCCAAACGCCTCCGAAACAATGAAAAGCTTACAAACTCTAAACTAGTCCTTACACTTCACATAAATGCCTATGAAACAGAAGGAAAATTCACAAGATTTACAAACTATTCACTCTCATGAAATCAAGTTAGCTGGTGAGAATGTTTAGTCTTCTCATTGGATCGTTGCAGAAGGCACCAGAATTCCGACGCCGGGCATCGGCCATTTTCTGTCCAGCTTCAATATCTGTGTTGTCTTTGACGCACCAGTCATTGTTATGCCCAGCATTTACCCAGAGCTTTTACATGCCAGCCATCTGTCATCTCCAAAAACAAGGTATATTTGTTTTATACTCGCCGAGCCTACAACTGCCCATCAATCAGACATAAAAGAGTAGGTATACATAGATAGATCCTCTGAACCTTCATTGACTCATCCAGGAATTCAAACACCAACGGCCATTAGATTATCTGCTATGTTTGCGGATCAAACACTGCCTGCCTCGTCAGTTCAACGCTCTCCTAGTTGGCTCAATGTCTATGGGCCCAGAAATCCAACAAGGGGGTCTACCGCAGTCTATGCAGTTTTCTGCTTCACTGTCAATGTTGTCTCCGATGCAGACAATCCCTGTTATGAATGACATTACCCGGAGCTCTACATGCCAGGCATTTACCGCCACCAACGTAATATACGTCTTATATCAGTAGAACAAGGTATAAGAGAGTGGGTAAAACACTATCCCAAAAAAAGCTTTCCCAGAACTCTTACATTCTCCTTCGTGGACTTCGACATCAAAGCATGTCTTGGAATTCAAACTCCAATGTCCATTTGATCTCCTGTGTTTGCAGGTCAAACACAGCCTTTGTCGTCAGTTTACACATGTTCACTAACTCCATTACGAGAAACACATCAACAATCCTATAGCTCTAAACCATCAGTTAAACAATTAGTGATAATGTCAACTATGGGGTGTCCTCTTAAAGAAGTAATCAAACTCATCCGTCAAAACATGGATACTTGTGACTATAACTGTCCCCTACAAACTTGAAGAAAAAAGAAACTCCAATCAACAAAGTACCTATAAATCCAATATAGACATCATTAGTATTTAAGAATTTTGGCATGTAAGAAATAATTACTCGTTGATAAACATGGAAACAAAAAAACGGAAACGAGAAATCAATTAAAGTTTGTGGCGCTTGTTCCCCATATAAAATACGTATGTATGGATGTACATACACACGCATCACACATGCACATGCACATTATATATAATACTAAAATTTACCTGATAAAGAGAATAGTATCATCTGCTCTAAACCTCTTAATCTGCACCGACAATTAGAGTAGATGGCTGTATGCGGGCAGCGGATGCAGCTCTGCTTTACCTAAATGATAAAAGTTGACAAAAAAATTAAAAAATGAAACCCATCGTATTACGCATCATACTGGTCAACTTAAAAGCAACCCTGACACGAAAGCTAGCGAAGAAAAAGATGACTGAATTGACAAAAGGGGTAGTCATATTCTTGAACAACAAAGCTTACAGCTCTACATAAGATCAAAGGATTTTCAGAAAAAAGTTCATGTGGCATAAATGTAACCTCAGACTATGAGCTCTCCACAGGAGTGTTCATATTGTTATCGTGGCAGTTAGTGGGCACAAAACAACTTCTGGAAGCAACCACAATTTGCCACAGCAATTTTTTATTTTACTCCAACACATTTTCCTCAAAGTACACATGCCAAACGATCATGTCCAATGCATATGCAACCTCAGACTATGAGCTCTCCACAGGAGTGTTCATATTGTTATCGTGGCAGTTAGTGGGCACAAAACAACTTCTGGAAGCAACCACAATTTGCCACAGCAATTTTTTATTTTACTCCAACACATTTTCCTCAAAGTACACATGCCAAACGATCATGTCCAATGCATATGCGGACACGGGTATGGGGTATGACCTTACAAAGACCCTCCAAATGCATGGAAAACTTTGAAAAACATTGAACAAAGCTGTGTCAGAGACATACCCATATCTAAAACTTACACTTGAGTCTAAGTAACATAGGTTGGTTTTAATTCTTTGAAATGTTTAGTTCCTCTAACACTTTTAGCATTGCGAACACAACCTTCTAAACAGTCCAAGTAAGGATGAACCCAGTCACTTTCAATATTATATGATAATATTAGAAATAAAAGAAAATATGGAAGAGTATAGGAAAACAATCTAGTTTTTTATTGTTTTTCTAGTTCTTAAACTGTAATTTCATCCTAAAAAATTATGTATCAATATGATACGCATTTCCCACTGTTTCTATGCATTGAAGAAACCAAAGTTTCCAGTTGTGATTATAACTAACCAGTAAGCATCAAGGGATGGAAGATACGATCTAGGCACGGTGCATCAAAAGCTCATTCGACTCCAAATGAAATGTGGTCACGGTTTAGCATCACTTATGTTTGCATTCTCAAGACAATGACTACCTTCAGTTTCTTATTCTTTATTATGGTACACCCCAATCCTCCAATTCATGTTATCTGCACAGCTTGAACAAGATAACCAGACAATTAGTCCTTAGGTTTGCACACTCGGAAAAACATGATGGACGGGACTAGTAATTAAACCCCTTTTAGCCATTTCATTTTGCAACTCAATGGCTTCAACAACATGTCCAAGCTCATAGTACTTCCTTAATATACCAATGCAAAGAATTTCATCAGGAAGGATATGCTTGCTTATCATCTCATCCAGAAATTCTCTTGCTTGCTGTAACTGACCACACCGGCAAAACCCCGAAACCAGGGAAGTGTAAGCCGGCAAATCAAGCTCCACGGCCATTTCAATCATTCTGTTCCGCAGATTCAATGCTTCCTTAAAATTTCCGTGCTTTAGATTTCCGTCTATTAAAGCAGTGTAAGCAGTTTTATCCGGAACCAAATTTTTACTTAGCATTTCATCGAACATACTTTTGGCTGCTTCAATGAAATTATTTTTACAGAGGCCATCAATCAATATTGTATAAACTGTGACATTAGGTTGCAAATTGAACTCCGGCATTCTGTTGAAATAATTAATTGCCTCTAGAACCAATCCTGTTTTGCACAAACCATCAATCAAAACACAAAAAGTAACAACCGTAACTTCTATACCGAGATCCCACATTTCCTCTAGCAGATTCAGTGCCTCAGTGGTTTTTCCCGTCTTAAAATAAGAATCCATGATTGTAGTATATATGACCGGATTTAAACTCAATCCAGATTCCTTCATTTCACTAATGACAAATTTAGTTTCTTCGACCTTGTCCCAATTGCATAGTCCCCAAATGACAGTTCCATGAAACAAAAGGTCCGGACTAATGCTTTTCTCCTTCATTTCTTGCAAAAGATTCAAGGCACACTCCATCTTCTTAACTTTCATATAGCCATGAGCGAGGGTGGTATAGATTTGCACATTAGGTGTTAATCCAGCTTTCAGAATTGCCCTAAAAATGTCATCTGCTTCCGCTATACGCCCTGCTTCACAAAGACCATCAATTATAGCTGTATACGTAATAATGTTCAAGTCAATATTTGCCTGCAACATCTCATTAGCCAGCTTCAATGCTTCAGTTAGGTTGCCAGCTTTACAATTTGCATCAATTAAAGAAGTATAAGTATACTCATTAGGTAAAAGCCCAAGCCGCTTCATATCAACTAAGAATTTAATCCCTTGCTGCATCATCCCTTCCTTGCAAAAAGCATCAATAAGCGTGCTATAAGTAACAACATTTGGTTTCAACCCCTTCTTCCTCATTTGGTGAAAAAACTCAAAAGCTCGAGGCATCGTCTGAAATTTACAAAAGCAGTTTATCAAGGCATTGTAAGTAATTACATCAGGCTGGCATGCTACATCCTTCATCTCTTCAAAAAAGAAAAGGGCTTCATCCAATAATCCTACCTTTCCATATCCATCAATTAGGGAGTTGTAAGTAACAACATCTGGAGTTAGATCGATCTCTTTCATTTGTCCGAATAATATTCTTGCAGTCTCCAATTCCCCTTCTTTGCACATACAATCTATCACTACTACTCCACGCCTTGACAAAATGAATTCCTTAAGAACAGCAGTAGCATCAAAATACATTCTGCCATAAAACAAAATGTGCACTAATCTACAATATGATTCACTTGTAGGGCTAAACCCTTTCTGGGTTTTCGCCCGTTTGAAGAACTTCAATGCCAAATGAGGTTCCTGTTTCAAACCAACCAAAATATTGGACACCCAAATGGGCGCCAAGCTTGAACCAAACAAATTCACGATATTTGGATCATTCCATTGGTCTTGTCGAATGATTTTACACAACGAGTCCTTATAGAGATCATCTAAAAAGTTACTGGTATTGCAATCAGACTTGGTACCAAATGGGAGCTTGATCACGAAACAAAAACTAGTGAATAAAACAAAAGGGCAGACAACAAGAGAGTTATTGGATTGTGGGTTTTGAAAGAGAAGAAAAGGGTGGCTTACTCTGATAGGGATTCTGCGGTTGAAGTGAAAGAGATTGCGGAGAGATACGAGCATTTTGATGAGGGAACTTAGAGTTGCAAATACTAGCTTCATTTTTGAAGCTGAGATGGCATTTTTTCTTCTTTTTTTCAACAAATTTGAGTGTGGTTTGAGTGAGAACTGAGAACTGGGAAATGAGTTTTAGTTGGTTTTGGTTAGGGTTTAACGATGTAGCAGAAGGTCTCTACTGTGATAGACTGTGGCGCGTAGAATCATGGGTTGATTATGAAGATATGTTGGGCTTCTAGTTCTTAGCATTTCAGCCCGCTCCAACCCAAAGTGTTGAAGCGCGGTCTTCTATACTTATATAATAGGCCCGTGTAGCATTGTTTTTCAAAAATAAGGTGGAAAAGTGCTTTTGAAAAGTAGTTTTAAATTGTTACGGGAGAGAATCACTGTCTAAAGTAGCTGTTGAAGTTACATATCAGAAAGATTGTTGCTTTGATCAGAAAGATCGTCGCTTCTGCAAAACAGAATACTAAATGGATTGACAGGAATCATGCTAAGGACGAAAGGTTGCAGACGCTTGCAACTTTTGAGAGAGTGATCGATACCCAATAATTGATTCATAGGGAAGCCTGAGTTAGTGATTGAGAACTCCATAGCAGAGCCAGCTAGTCATGATTTATTTTGTGTTGAAGAGTATTCTAAGTTACATTTACCCTCAAATGCTTTTTTTATTGAATACTTTGCTATTTACTTTCTTGATTATAAATGTATGGATTTGCTATGCACTAAGAAAATCAATTGTTGATTTCGTTACAGTTAATCTTAGCCAGCATGATTCACTGATGTCGATACTTAGTGCAACTACACTTCTTCCGACTTCTTCGCCTGCTAGATCAGTATCCATGAGATATATGGGCACAGGAACTCCTGTTCAGTCAACAAAACAAACCCGTAGCCCAAATTCATCGAGGACATCGTTATGATCACGATATCATTGCACAATATTTGGTGACTTGTACACAAATAGGCTCCGAGAGCTGGTGGAAGGGTCACATACCATTACAAATCCCATCCCAAAATGTGCCTATTGCGATATCGCAACCGAGTTTCTGCAACAAATCAACAAAGCTTTTGCCGTTCTAGAAAATTCAAGTAGAAAGCTATCTAGATTAGTTTGCACACAAAATATGTCCTCACAAAAGATGATGGTTGAAATCAAAGTTGCCAATCTATAGGGTCAGTCCCCATTTGCTCCAAAAGTTGGTTTGTGGGAGAGAAATGCCTGTTTGAAATGTTCCAAGAAATTAGGGATAATTAGATAAGATAGATGGGGACTTGACCATAGCCATCAGTAAGTGATACTTTTATATAGCCTGCAAAGTAAGACCTCGAAACTATAAGAGATTTTGAATAACAATCACGAAAACAAATATAAAAGGGCAAATGGTAATCAGTACTCAGTTATTTGTTTTTGCTACTATTTAACTATGTTGCTCCAACAGTTCATTTTTCTTCAAGTACCCGCATTTTATTTATCCATGTTCGATGCATATCTAAATATAGATAATGAGATGTATGTTCTTACAATGACCTCCAAAAAAGCATGTAAATCTTGAAAAAGAAATATGCTTATCTGAACATACTATGTCACACTCTTATCCAAGTCCTACTGATATAACTATTTAATGCGTAAGTTCTATTAGTCCATTGTTGGTTCCATAAAATACAATCAAATTAAACCAACCACCATCATGGAATCCAAAAACCAAAAATTACACACACACACACACACACACATATATATATATCAAAGACAGAAGACTCAGAGTGCAAATCACGAAGTAGAGAACTTGTGCCTATCCATACTAACCTGCAACCAAAGCAGCCTCTATTTGCAGACAAACCAGAAGGATGAGCTGCCTTGAGAATGTGATGCTTTGTCTGATCAATCAACCTGTGCCAGATTAAGAGAAGTCTCAACCAAGTTTGTCAATATCATAAAGGTAAATATTTTAGTTCGCCCATTGGAACAGTGCATATCTTGCACCAACGTTGCAGTGCACTCTTTAATTTACCAACATAGTATGATGCATGGAGCAAGAATATATACAGTAGCAAATATTTCAGATTTAAACTACTTTTCAATCCTATGTTGGTCTGATTCATTTTTCTAGAAATATCCATGTACGAAATCCGTATTCAATACTCATACTCAAGTCTGAATAACATAACTCATATCCATGTTGAGTTGGCCGACATTAATATAGGGCTCAATTTAACTTGTGCAAGAAAAAAATTCCTAGAATTACAAATACAAAAAGTGGGAATAGGAATGGAATATGATCGAAAAAAGACTCACTTTAATTTCTCTTGAGCTGAGTTCTCCCATAGAAGAAACACAACTCCTTCCTTCTTTTGTGAGATAGTCTTAATAACAGCATCAGTAAATACCTCCCACCCTTTCTTTGCATGAGAATTAGCTTGATGCTTCCTAACTGAATATCAGGAATGAAAGAGAAAAAAAGGAACAGGAATGCTATAGATTAGAAGAGAAGTGGATAACAGAAACAAAAAGGTAAAACGTCATCTTTGTTAAGAATCCAGTTGGAGATCATAGGAAACCCAATATATAACATATGTCAGATAACATCACTTGCACTACTCACTTGTAGCTCAATGAACCTACGTGTGGACAACCTTACCAGAAGTCATCAAACACACATGGGGTTAAACAAGATCAACAATTTAAGCTTTGATACCATGTTAAGTATCTAATCTAAAACCATTTGACAATAAGTGGAAAGTCCAAGTTTAATATAAGACTACAAAAATCTAATATTTAACAGATACGAGATTAAACCACTTAACAATCTCCAAAGGAGATGAAATCAAGAGGGAGCAAAATAATCCTTAGGTTAAAATTGCACAGGATGACTAACTTTGTTATATAAACAAGGAAGGCAACTATCTTAGTCTCCACAACCCCTTTAAATTACTCAAGAGGAAACAGCTTTGAGAAACTGGTATCTGCATATCAGCATCTAATTTCAGGGGTTGAATGTTGCAGACTCCTAATGGCTTTATCTTACTTCTTTCATGAATTCACTACAACTCATGCGTGCTAAATGGTTCTCTTTTAACTCTTATGAGTTTTACTATTAAACAAGGATCCACCATCCCATTGCCATAATAATCTTTTCATGAATGTAATGGACATATTGCCGTCAACAAAGTCATAACAATTCAATCATAAGCTCACATAAAAATAATATCAAAAACTCAAGGATGGGCTAGAAAATTACCAGGGAGAACAGTGTTCAGCAAAAGAACACCCTACAAGATATTTAAAATAGTTAGGGAAGAAGCTAATATAAGAAGAAATCAATATTTTCTTTATTTATAGGTTTAATCATCAGTTCCGGCACACAATTTTCACCTGAACAGCCCATTTCTCCGGATTCCCATGAGATGGAATTGAACATCCAAGATCCTGCTTAAGTTCCTTAAATATATTCACCAGGCTCGAAGGAATCTTCACTCCCTCTGGCACTGAAAATGAAAGCCCCATTGCTTGACCAGGTCCATGATATGGATCCTGAAATAAGTAAAAATCTATGTTACTTCAATTCCTTTAAATATCCATGTGACAGCAGTGTCCAATACATTTCCAGATATGAATTCTAATAAAAAAAAATCTAATACAGACATGAAAAAAGAACAGAGTGGTGTTAGTCATGCAGTCAATTATGGTGCAGATTTGATGGCAAAGTTGGCGTGGACTGCACCATTTGAGTATAGAAGGTACCTCGATTCCCCTAGAACTGTGGAGGAAGTTTTGCATAAGGAACATGAAGTTGTGCAGTATCTCTAGGCTGTTAGTTTAATCTGTTTTTTTCTCATTACTAGTAAAGAAAAAGATATTTGACATCTTTATTGTTGTCCTCCTTTTAACTTTTATAGATTTTCAATCAATTTCTCAACTTCTAATTGTTCTTTTCCTTTTTGTATTTTTAAATATTTTTATTTTTTTGAATGAGAAGAAACAGCAAACTAATGAGCAGGATAATCCTATAGCCTATCCAGCAGCACTATCCTCAAGAAGACCTGGTTTACTTCAGGAGGTGGATCATGGAAGACATGAGCTCCAAGAGGACGATATCAAGCCAACCTTGTCATGTTCTCGGCCACCCGATTGCACTCGTGTGGAACAAACACAAAACGCATCCTCCAATCTCGCCTAACAAGCTCCACAATATGTGGTGCCATTGGTGATCCAAATCTCCCATTCGCGTCGCTCTTCAAAGCTGAAAGAGCCTCTTTGCAGTCTGTTTCCACTATAAGTTGGCGTAAACTAAGATCTCAAGCTAAAGAAAGCCCTTCCAAAATACCCTACAGATCAGCATCAAACGCCGAGCAAACACCAACAGCTTTAGAAAAAACCCGAGAACCAAGCACCATCATGGTCACGAATGATACCTCAGCAAGTAGCCATTCCCGTTGCTGGTCTTTGTGAGCCATCAATGTTGAGTTTCATCCAGTTAAGAGGAGGAGCAGTCCACTTAACCATACGAGACACCTCGTTGATATGATTTCCCCCCAACGTATCCCGCATGTGTGTGTGTGTGTGTGAGAAAATGGGTTAAGTTTATTAAGAATGTCAAATTAACATGTTTGAAAGCATTTATGTACATTATTATTGCATAAATATCACATTTAGAATTTGATATGCTAAATCTTTGGTCATATATGTTTTTGATGTATTAAATATAATTTTATATCACATTTAGAGTATATTAGATGTATATGAAGGTTGTATTTAGGTTGAACCAAGGGTGTTATAAGCCCCCAATGTTTATTAAAATTGCCAAAAATGTCCATTTTTACTGTTGGGATTCCATAACCAACATACGTACTGATACATGGGCTTTTGAATCTTAAATTGGTTTTGATTCCTTGTAAAAGGCATTCATACTAGGTTAATTATCGATACCATGAGCCATGACATCAATACCATAATTTTAAATCTTTACAATTTAGTCCTAAAGTCATAATTTTGTCTATTTATATCTGATTTGGTTCTTGTTTTTCCTAATTAAAATTTTTGAGAGATAAGGTGTTTAAGAATATATTTAATTAATAAAATAAATGTTTTAAGTGATCTTAAAAATTTTAATTTTTTTATTAGGTTCCTTTTATGGTTTATTGATTAATTCTAATCGTTATACATATTTTGATTTATGTTATATGTGATTTGATTTGTGACTAATACAATCAAATTCTTTTTGTATAGCTTTCTAAGATGTTTGAGGATTTAACTGATTTTATAAACTTGAAATCATTCATCGACTTCTCAAATAATGAAGAAGATAAACATCTAAACCCTTCAAATTCTTCGAATCAATTGAATCCCCTGCATCGAATCTTTGTTATAACTCTCATCCTTAAGAAAAATTCATCCTCAAACTTGCCTGAGATGAAAAGTTGGGGATATTGCTCTTTCATTTGATCGTCTAGTTCCTAAGTGGCCTACTTAGACTTGCGATTCCTATACTCTTCCTAAGTGGTTCTTTAACAACGAGTACATTAATTAAAATTTTCATTTAATATATTATTTTTAATAGATATAAATAATATAAAATATTTTTCAACATTTATTAATTTAAGGAAACAATTGATAGTTCATTACAGATAAGAGTATTTATATTGTTTTTCCCTCCCACAAATTTTGTGAAGCAATCACGCCTAAACTCCCTCTGAGACAAACACAAGCATCCTCCACATTTATATCGTATGTTCTTTCAAATAGAAAAAAAAAATCCTAAAATTAATTCCACAATCATAAATTAAGATTTCCCATTCGACAATTATATATAGATGACCATCAACCCTTATTCTTTTTAAATTTCTCTTCAATCTCGTTCAAAGAGATACAAAAAAAAAAATCCAATGGGATTCCGGTCGATTTTCAATCGGAAAAAGAAGCAACCATCCCCTACTTCATCAGCATCTCCGGCCGTTCCGCCCAACGGGTCACCCTTCTTTCAATATCCAATGCGATCCCCAACCCAAATCCAGCTCCAAGAACTCGAAGAAGTCTTCAAGAAGTTCGACGCCAATGGCGACGGCAAGATCTCGTCGTCGGAGCTCGGTTCCATCATGGGTTCCCTCGGCCAAAAACTCTCCGACGAAGAACTCCACAAGATGATCAAAGAGGTCGACGCCGACGGCGATGGGTTCATAGGTTTCGAGGAATTCGTGGAGCTGAACACCAAGGGGGTGGATTCCAATGAGGTTTTGGAGAATCTGAAAGACGCGTTCTCCGTGTATGATCTAGACGGGAACGGTTCGATTTCGGCGGAGGAACTTCATAAGGTTCTTCAAAGCCTGGGGGATGATTGCTCCATTGCTGAATGTAGAAAGATGATTAGTGGCGTCGATAACGATGGAAATGGGTTGATTGATTTCGAAGAGTTTAAGGTTATGATGATGGCTGGTACAAGGCACGGTATGGTTCCATGAATTCTTAGATACTTCTTATTGTCCAAAAACACGATTGATCTAATTTTTTCTTTCCTGGGATCTCTGCTTTTGATTATGTGGAACTTTTGTATATATTTTCTCTTATAATCATCTTATTTTATTTAATATATATTTATACGAACATCGAGATGAATAACTTTGTTTTTTATATCTAAAATCAATAGATTATTTTGAACTGTATATAACTTCTTTTTTTACATACGATATGATATATGATATATATTATATGAATTTAAAATTTATGATAAATATGATAGGATATAAAAGCATGCATCAGCACGATATAAGGCGGTGGTTGTAAATACGGTAAACTATGTGAATAGTCCTCTTTGTTTATGATCTGATCGATTTTGGTCATCAATTTAAAAATTAAGCGTAAATAGTCCCTTACATTATCAGTTCGTCCGGTTTAAGTCTCTCTGCAATTAATTTCCGTTAATCCCCTTTTGTTTAAGTCCCTAACATGGTTGAAGAACTAAAATTGAACTGGAGTTAATGGCTGAGAGACTAAAATTGAATGGATCTGTAACCCCTAGATTCAGCCTATACGTTATGATTAGATCTAGTGGATTATGTTAACGATCTTAAAATAACTTAAATCATAGTAATATTAGAGGATTATGTTAACGATCTTAAAATAACTTAAATCATAGTAATATTAAATAAGTTAAAACAAATAATATAAGACATAAAATATTAAGTGTATAATAAATTATAAAATGTCGAAAGTAATCCAAATACCGAGTATCTTGATAACTCGTACATCAATAGTAAATCAAAATACGACATAAAACATGTAACACCAAATAATATAGACACATGTCACCAAATAAGGGTAGTTTGAAAGACAAACATTACAACAAAAATATTGTAGATGATGTATCGATCCTCCAAGTGTCAAGTAAGGGGTGCCTATCCAAAAGTATCTCAAAGAGGAAAAGTTTGGGGTATGAGATAGGAAGCTCAGTGTGTCCCAAAAGTGCAAATAAGCATTGTATTTAAATATTCAAAAAATGATTCAGTAACGTAACATAAGGTAATCAATGAGATTTTATAGTTTAAAATTCATTTATACCTCCTCTTGTACACCGAAATGCAGTCCCCCAAAACTATATCCATAAGGACTTACCCTATACTCATTGGGTATAGGAGACAACCTAAGGGAACACCTTGAACCATAAGGTCTTACCCTAGCCGAAGCATAGGAGCCCACCTTAGGGTAGTACCCTCAGGCCGTAAGGTCTTACCCAATGCAGAAAGCAGAAGAACCACCCTAAGGAAGTAACTTAGGGTCCATAAGGTTTTACCCGAGGCCCAGTGGGCCTAGGTGCCCACCTAAGGGTTGCATTAGGTCCATAAGGATTTACCAGCTTAATTATAATTAGTAAAACATGAATCATAAATCAGGATTTAAAATTAGATAATTCATTCACCATTCAAAACATGTAGAACATACATATAAAAATAATCATATTGTTAGGGGGCCTACTGAGCACCTGCTTCGCCACGCTCTACAGCAGTGCTTGAATGAGTAATCACTAGCTCGTGAGGTTAAATGGATCGAGAAGAGTTGGGTCGAGCTGTCGAATACTCGGGAGAGTCTCGTGTACCCACGCTGACGATAAAGAAAACATCGACAACATTATGACCCAAGGGTTAGGTTTCGAGCGGATGAGGATAAGGAGTTCAACCACGCCGGCGGTGAAGCAAACAGACGACGATGGATGTTAGAAATAGTGATTAACTGAGGAGATGGGGGAAGGGGGTTTCGGCAGTTCCTTGGCGAGCTTCCACGGCAATCAGTGACAAATTCCGGTGAGGGACTAGAGAGGTTTTGGTCACCGGTCGATGACGAGTCGGATGAGGGTGGTGGTGTAAGCTACGGCGGTCGAATTGATATTCGACAATGGTATAGACGGCAGGTAACTAAGGATTTGTGGAGGGATTAATTTGGGGATTTGGGTGTTATAACCCGAACTTAACCAATTAAATAATATATTTACTTAAAAATATCACAAATAGTGACATAGCTTAAACGGTAGGGTGATGGCTGGCGTTAAGTCCCTGAACTTCCTACAGGTTCAAAATTAAGCTACAAGCTTTTGAAACTTGCAATTTAGTCCCTAAATCAACAAAGTTAATTTATAATTTATTTTATTTTTATTTTTTTAAAACAGGGTTGTGACAATTCTCCCCCTAAAAGAAATTTCATCCTCAAAGTTTACCTGAAGCAAACAGATGCAAAAATTGAGTCTTTATTGATTCCTCTGTCTCCCAGGTGGCTTCTGCAAGACCACAGTTAGTCCACTGAACCTTTACCATCGGGATATGCTTGCTCTTCAGCACCCTCTCATCTGGATCCAAAATCTGAACATGCTCCTCATCATAGGATAAATTTGGCCTCAACTCAACATCATATATCTGAATAATGTGGCTAGGGTCTGGACGATAGAGCCTCAACATGGACATGTAAAAGACATCATGAATACGACAGAGCTGGGGAAGCAACTAGAGCTTATATGCAACAAGTCCTACTCTTTTAAGGATACAGTATGACCCAATAAATCTCGGACTCAATTTACTCTTGCGTCCAAATCTCAACACTTTTTTCAATGGGGATACCTTCAATGGAGGCAACACTTTTTTAATTTTCTAGCCAACCAAACAGACCTATTAGTTTCAACATTGTCACCTGTAGAAATTATTGGTGGAGACTTAGAAAGAAAATAAAGTATGAAATGTGTGTATCTAGATTGACTTCAATGCCTAGAAATATAATGGTTTGAATTGAGCTTAATCTTTCTATTTTAGTTTGTCGTATTTGTTCAACTATAAGAAAATTTTGATTTGATTTTTGAAAATGATACATTTTAAAAAGATAAATTAACGTTTAATCTCAAATTTAATAATATTTTATAATTTTGTCTCTAATTTTTTTTTAATTAGTCTTCAAATTTAATATTTTTTTATTTTTTTACTTTTTAATAATATAATATTCTAAAGTTATAATATTTGATGCAATATTAAGTTTATGTCATTAAAATTAAAACTTTAATAAATTCAACCAATAATACGGATAAAAAACGGTAATACTAAATTAACATAAATTGTCAAATTAAAGAGTTAAATGCTACTTCATCTCTATTCTAAAATCGAACAAAAAAATCTTAAAAAATTAAATTAAATTTTCGAACTAAAACCAAATTATCAAAACACGGTCATTTTTATTTTTAAATTCTGGAAAGGAATCAAAAACCTAATCTTTTGAATAAAGAGAAACCCGATTTCCAATTTAACGTTATAAATGGTTCCATTTCCTCTAGTTTTGTCTTTCCGTGACTGAAAGAGTCTAAAATAGTGTCATAAATTATTATTTTCATATATAGTTCATTATTAATATAATTTTAAAAATTAATTTAATATTTTATTCAATCTATTAATCTTTAAATCTAGATCAACTACCGCATAAGTTCAATATAAGGATGATCATTTCATTCTAATTTATTTTATTTATTTAAATTTAAACTATTTATTTTATTTAAGAGATCTATTGTTTTATCGTATTATAACAATTTAATCCTAGTGTACACGTAATTCATATGTTTTTTCGAATGAAAAATAAAAGCGAACTAATTCATTTTTTTTTCTTATTAGACCAATTACGTAATTCATGTTTTTAATAATAATGATAATGGCGACGATGATGCTGAGAAAGTGAACGTGAAAACCGAGTTGGAGAGAGGATGTGCAGCCAAAGGCATAAAAGATGCGCGTGGCTTTTCCAGATAAGGTGTTTGCTTTTTATTGCTGTAAAGCAAAGGGCAACTATCGGCTCCTTCAATTTGTGTTCACATTTGGTCACCTACTCCTTATATATATATATATATATATGTATCAAAAGCCTCATTGTTCTTCCCGTCTTCTTTGTTTGTACGTAAGGATTCCTCAGTCATGGCTTCTTCGCTGCCATCTAAAGATTTTCAGGAGGGTATGTTTATACATAAACTGCAATCTTTCCTGCTTATGGAATCCACGATTTAAAGAGAAATGCGGAAATGCAGGAGTAGGTAATGATGATGAAGGGAGAGGATTGGTTTCTGGTGAAAACGTTCTGCAAAAACACGTTGCATTCTTCGACAGAAATCACGATGGCTTTATTTATCCATGGGAGACTTTTGCAGGTCTTTCTTTTCTTTTATTTCGATCAACATGGAATTTATTTTACTTAAAAGTTTGAGATTTTTCTAAAGGTTTTCGAGCAATTGGGGCTGGTTATTTACTGTCTTTGCTCAGTTCCTTCCTTATCAACGTTGCCCTCAGTCGCAAAACTCGCTCAGTAAGCTGTCATTTTCTATATATAATGTGTTTCCTTTTCCATACATTTCTTGGTCTCAAATTATTTTAGTGTATTTATCTTTCTTATTTTCATGTTATTGGCAATCGCAAAATCTTGAATAGAACCCATAATATAAAATAGGAAAGTGACTTAAACATTAAAAAATAATAAATAATGGCTTATATTGGTTTTGTCCTATTCTTGGGTGCTAGTTAAAGGAGAAAACCATTGAATAAAATTGAAGTATTGGTTTTTAATTTGCATGTAGGGAAAACCATTTTCTCTTCATTCTCTTATGCTTCCCATTGAGGTTAAGAATATCCATTTTGCAAAGCATGGGAGCGACTCTGGTGTATATGATACTCAAGGAAGGTACGTAAATCTAAACAAATATATTTGACAGGTTCTTTCCATGATTATTTTATGCAAACCTAATTCTGAAATTGTATATATATATGTATCTCAAATTTGAATGTATGTTAGGTTTGTGCCCTCCAAGTTCGAACGAATATTTATCAAATTCGCTCGTACTCATCCTGATGCTTTAACATCCGATGAACTTTCGGCAATGCTCAAGGCTAACAGGGAGCCCCAGGATTACAGAGGATGGTAAGAGGGGTTAAGATGTTTAATTTTAAAATTAATAGGGGTCCAATAAGTATTTGAATATACAACTTTTGGACTCTAAAGGTATAATTTGACAAATATTCAAACTGTTAGAACCTGAAATGTCAATACACAAAAATAGTTAAATTAAAATTGATACTTACGTTTCTTTTAACTAATTTCTAAGAAGTTAAGTTCAGGTATCAATTTGAGCCACATAATCATGTTTGAGTACCTAATTGGAGAATAACAAGAGGTAGCAAATTGAATCTTAAAACCAAATTCAAGTACCAAAATATAGATTTGTCCTTATTTATATGTATGTATTAGCAATAGTCTACTAATTAATGGGGGAAAATTGAAATGGCAGGGTTGCTAGCTTGACGGAGTGGAAGACTTTATACATTTTATGCAAAGATGATCAAGGATTGCTGAGGAAGGAGACAATTAGAGCTGTGTACGATGGAAGCTTGTTTGAACAAATGGAGAGGGAAAGATCAGGAGCTGCCAAAAAGAAAGAGTAATTAATTAACCCATTTATCAGTAATTTATTCCAAATGGGTTTAGTTAATTTGTGATTTTATTATGGTTTCTTGGCTGGATTTTGGTTCGATGTAAATTAATGAATGGTTGATTGAGAATAATTGACGAGGAAATGTGAGAAATAATATTCTCTTCGGGGCTTGCATTTATGGTAATATAAGTAATTGAGTGTATAATCATATCTAAATCTTAGGGTTTTTTTTAGATATTTATATATCCGCATAATATTTTTATAACTTATATTATTTTTAATTAACTTTATTATTTTAATTTTTATATTTTTTAAGATCAAGGGTTCAAACCCTGGAGTTTGCATAAGGAGTAAATTGGATTGGGAGTCTCGCCTCTACAGTACCTGATTTAAATTAGTCGGTTAATAGACCAAATATTAGTGATTAATTAAAAAATAACTTAAATTAAAATTAAATTTGAAATTCGATAATTGGACAACTCCTCATTCTTCCACTTATGTGGGCGTATGTATATTTCCCATGCACCATTTCATATGTGGTCAGACAGCTATTCCTTCTTCTGTTGGTAATCGATTGTTGCAGCATTTTACCGACCAAATTATCCAAATATTATTTAGTTCTATTAATGATTTTAAAAATTATATATATTTTAATTCAAATTTAAACAAAAAATTAAATTGATTTAATTTTAGGAAATTTGGTTTGATAAGTGACAGATTCGACCGTATAAACATCTATAATCCATGATTATTAACAATGATCTATTTTGAGTAACATTGATGGTAAAATGAAATATTGTTCTCATTATATATTCTATGTCCAAATAGTTACATATATATAGTATATGTTCGTTGTACGAGACTAAGAAAATTTTGATTCAAACTTTTAAAATTACCAACCCTATCAGACATATTACATGAATTATTATTTAATTAATTATATTTTTAAAGTTTAATATTACAATTTTTTACAATGAGTACATCAACTTTATTAACAACAAATCATGAGCCATACAAACTCTAATCTACAAATTACAATTTTCGAAGCACAAAAAATTCTCAATAATATTGCAAACTATAAAACACCTAAATCGTTTGAAATTTTGAATGTTCCACACAAACATCAAACACCTTGAACAAAACCAAACTTAAGCAAAAATATTAAAAGAAAATCCTTCATTCAATCCATGACTTTCCAAAATGTCGATGTAAGAAAATATTATATCAAAATATATATGATAATGATACCGTAGCTTACTCTACTTCCTATTCCCTATCACATAGTTTTGGTTTATAGAATTTGAGATGGATTACCTAATCAGAGGGGGTAAGCCATCTTAGCTTAACCTACCTTCATTTATTACTTCAAGTTAATCAAAAGGCACATTGATTACCCCTGTTAAAAGTTTCAAAGTTTGGCAACCAACTTTGGAAAATGTTTCTTTGAAAAATGTTTTTCAAAGTTTGGTAAAATTTTGGTAGATGTTTGTTGAAAATAGGAATGGGTAAATTCACTTTAGTCATTGCACTTTAGGGTATTTTCAAAGATTAGTCCCTAAGTTTCTACTATAAATACCCTTACCCATTTAGCTTCAAAATCATCCCAAAACATTTCTTTCTTCCTATACTAGAGAGCTTTCTTGTGAGTAGTGAGTGTTTTGTAAACACCTGTAAATTTTCTCTCTTAGTAAAAGATATGCAGCAGCCCGGAGACGTAAGCACAATTGGCTGAACTCCGTTATCAATTTTCGGGTATTATTTTTCCGCTTTTATTTCGCATTCTCACTAATCTGGTTATAGGGAAATTACTTGTACTCGGTTTATTTTCCTAACAACTGGTAATCAGAGCTTTTGGTTGTGAATTTTGTCAATTTTTCTCTGAGGTTACTATTCATTACTATTCACGTGAATAGTGAATTTTGTGAATAGTGAAATTTCGATCGGCGATACGAGTTTGTCGACGGTGGTGTTCTAATACACGGTGGTTCGCAAGAATTGTCAGAAACGATCCAAAAGAAGCCAGATTCGAGTGGAAGCGATGGCTGCAGACGAAGGGAAGGTGAAAATTGAAAAGTTCGATGGTGCGGACTTTGGCTTTTGGAAGATGCAGATTGAAGATTTTCTGTACCAGAAAAATCTTTATCAACCTCTCTCAGGAAAGCAACCAGAGGGCATGAAGAATGAAGACTGGGCTCTTCTCGACCGACAAGCCCTCGGAGTCATCCGACTGACGTTGTCCCGAAATGTTGCTTTCAACATAGCAAAGGAAAAGACCACGGCGGGTCTTATGGCGGCTTTCTCCAGTATGTATGAGAAACCATCGGCCTCAAACAAAGTTCATTTGATGAGGCGATTATTCAATTTGCGGATGACGGAAGGGGCATCGGTGGCACAACACCTAAATGAACTCAACACAATCACAACCCAGTTGAGTTCAGTGGAAATTGAGTTCGATGATGAAGTTCGAGCTTTAATTCTCTTATCATCTCTACCAGACAGTTGGAATGCTACTGTTACAGCAGTCAGCAGTTCGTCGGGAAACAGCAAATTAAAATTCGACGATGTTCGGGATCTGGTACTGAGTGAAGAAATTCGACGGAGAGAATCGGGTGAAGCATCAACCTCCTCAGCCTTGCACACGGAGTCTAGAGGAAGAACTTCAGAAAGATATTCAAATCGTGGCAGATCAAAATCCAGACGGGAAAAATCTAGAACGGGAAAGAAAGATTTTACCTGTTATAATTGTGGCAAGAAAGGTCACTTTAAAAGAGATTGCCGAGCACTGAAGAAAGATACCGGTGCACAGGAATCTGCCAACGTGACAGAGGAGACAGGTGATGCCATGATTCTAAGCGTCAACAGTCCGATTGAATCATGGATCTTGGATTCAGGGGCATCTTTCCACTCCACCCCATGCCAAGAAATCATGGAGAACTATGTCAGTGGTGATTTTGGGAAGGTTCATCTTGCTGATGATGAAACCTTAAAGATCGTCGGAAAAGGAGACATCCGACTAAAGTTGCCAAACCAGACCACCTGGAAGCTGACAGGAGTGAGACATATTCCTGGCCTCAAAAGAAATCTGATTTCTGTTGGACAGCTTGATGGAGAAGGATATAGCACAACCTTTTCAGGCTGTGAATGGAAGATTACCAAAGGAGCACTCGTCATTGCTCGTGGTAAGAAGACTGGTACTCTCTATGTAACCTCAAATTTAGAGAATATCATTGCAGTAGCAGATGCTGATGGAAAATCAAACCTATGGCACCAAAGGCTTGGCCATATGAGCGAGAAAGGGATGAAGACACTTTTGTCAAAAGGGAAGCTGCCGGATCTAAAAAATGTAGATGTCGGACTATGTGAGGATTGCATCTTTGGCAAACAAAAGAAAGTCAGTTTTGCAAAGATTGGCAAGACACCCAAGGCAGAAAGGTTAGAATTGGTTCATACTGATGTATGGGGACCATCCCCAGTTCCATCTCTTGCAGGCTCACTATATTATGTCACCTTCATCGATGATTCAACAAGGAAGGTGTGGGTTTATTTTCTGAAGAAGAAATCAGAAGTCTTCGATATCTTCAGAAATGGAAGGCCATGGTGGAAAATGAGACTGGTTTGAAAGTCAAGCGGTTGAGGTCTGACAATGGAGGAGAGTACAAAGACAGTAGATTCAGAGATTTCTGTGCAAACAATGGGATCAAGATGGAGACAACAGTTCCCAAGACACCGCAACATAATGGTGTAGCAGAGCGCATGAACAGAACTCTGAATGAACGTGCCAGAAGTATGAGGATACATGCCGGCTTGCCCAAATTTCTATGGGCTGAAGCAATCAACACTGCAGCTTACTTGATCAACCGTGGGCCCTCAGTTCCTTTGGATGGCAGAATACCAGAGGAAGTTTGGAGCAAGAAAGAAATAAACCTTTCACACTTAAGAGTGTTTGGTTGTATTTCTTATGTACACATAGACTCTGCTGAAAGAAGTAAGCTTGATGCTAAGTCCAACAAATGTGCCTTTGTTGGTTATGGCGGTGATGAGTTCGGTTACCGGTTTTGGGACTATGAAAATCGGAAGATCATCAGAAGCAGAGACGTCATTTTCAATGAAAATGTGATGTACAAAGATAGATCAACCGCAGAATCAAGTAATACCGAAGCTGAAACAAAGGAATTTGCTGAGTTCGAGGAGATTTCTGGAAATGATGTTCAGATCAATCCTGAAGCAGTTCAAGAAGAACCAGGCACACCAGAACTGAGACGCTCCTCCAGAATTCCTAAACCAACCCAACGGTATTCTCCTTCTTTACACTACTTGTTGCTGACTGACAATGGTGAACCAGAGTGCTATGATGAAGCAATGCAAGTGGAGGATTCAGTCAAGTGGGAGTCTTCCATGAAAGATGAGATGGACTCGCTTATGTCAAATCAGACATGGGAATTAGCTGAATTACCACCAGGCAAGAAAGCGCTCCACAACAAGTGGATTTACAGGATCAAAGAAGAGCACGATGGGAGCAAACGCTACAAAGCAAGATTGGTTGTCAAAGGCTTTCAGCAAAAAGAAGGTATTGACTACAATGAAATTTTCTCTCCAGTCGTAAAATTGTCTACAATCAGACTGGTGTTGAAAATTGTAGCTGCAGAGAATTTACATCTTGAGCAGTTAGATGTAAAGACAGCTTTCCTTCATGGTGATTTGGAGGAAGAAATCTATATGAGGCAGCCAGAAGGCTTCATAGAGGCAGACAAGAAAAACCTGGTATGCAGGTTGAAGAAGAGCTTGTATGGTTTAAAACAAGCTCCTAGACAGTGGTACAAGAAGTTCGATAGCTTCATGAGTAGCAGTGGTTTTATCAGATGCCAAGCAGATCATTGTTGCTACATCAAGAGGTTCGACAACAGCTTCATTATTTTATTATTGTACGTTGATGACATGCTCGTTGCAGGCTCAGACATGCAAGAGATTATACACTTGAAGCAAAAATTGTCGAAGCAGTTTGCTATGAAGGATCTGGGCGCTGCAAAGCAGATTCTTGGGATGAGGATCAAGAGAGACACAAAGTCGGGGACTTTGATGTTATCACAGGCTGAGTACATCAACAAAGTACTCTCCAGGTTCAACATGCAAGATGCTAAACCAGTAAGTACACCTTTAGGTGTTCATTTCAGACTCTCCAAAGACCAATCACCAAAGACGGAGGAAGAACGTGCACACATGGTGAAGGTGCCGTATGCCTCAGCAATTGGAAGTCTGATGTATGCCATGGTTTGTACCAGACCAGATATTGCTCATGCAGTGGGAGCTGTTAGCAGGTACATGAATAATCCGGGCAAGGTACACTGGGAAGCAGTCAAATGGATCCTCAGATATCTTCAGGGTACCACAAACAAAGCACTTTGTTTCAAAGGTGGAGATATGATACTGACAGGCTATGTAGATGCTGACTTAGCCGGAAATGTCGACATCAGAAGGAGCACTACAGGGTATGTCTATACTCTAGGAGGCACTGCAGTGAGTTGGGTTTCTCAACTACAGAAGATAGTTGCTCTCTCCACAACTGAAGCAGAATATGTCGCTGTTACGGAAGCCAGCAAGGAGATGGTTTGGCTCCAAAGTTTCTTGGAAGAGTTAGGCAAGAAACAAGAAAACAATATCTTGTATTGCGACAGTCAAAGTGCTATCCATCTAGCAAAGAATCCGTCTTTTCATTCCAGGACAAAGCACATACAATTGAGATATCATTTTATCCGGTCTCTTCTGGAAGATGGGATTTTGAAACTTGAAAAGATTAGTGGAGCTCAAAATCCGGCAGACATGTTGACAAAGACGGTGACTACGGACAAACTGAAGTTGTGTTCAACTTCAGTTGGCATGCTAGAATAACAAGACCAGACATGCTGCTGCATTGATCGAGGTGTGAAGACATATTAAAATCAGTCTTCAAGTGGGAGATTGTTAAAAGTTTCAAAGTTTGGCAACCAACTTTGGAAAATATTTTTTTCAAAGTTTGGTAAATGTTTCTTTGAAAAATGTTTTTCAAAGTTTGGTAAAATTTTGGTAGATGTTTGTTGAAAATAGGAATGGGTAAATTCACTTTAGTCATTGCACTTTAGGGTATTTTCAAAGATTAGTCCCTAAGTTTCTACTATAAATACCCTTACCCATTTAGCTTCAAAATCATCCCAAAACATTTCTTTCTTCCTATACTAGAGAGCTTTCTTGTGAGTAGTGAGTGTTTTGTAAACACCTGTAAATTTTCTCTCTTAGTAAAAGATATGCAGCAGCCCGGAGACGTAAGCACAATTGGCTGAACTCCGTTATCAATTTTCGGGTATTATTTTTCCGCTTTTATTTCGCATTCTCACTAATCTGGTTATAGGGAAATTACTTGTACTCGGTTTATTTTCCTAACAACCCCATGAAGTCTATATTAACCTCTCATTGAAATAGAAAGAATCACAAAGTCATCAGTATATGTTCTTAGCACTGCAAAACAATGGAGAAAAGTAGAGTGTTAATACTTTGTTTAGTGTTGGTTATATTAGTAAGGCAATCAGCAGCAGATCAACCTAGAGCCGTGGCGTTCGGGCTCTGCTACACGCCTTGCTATGTTCTCTGCAATATACGACCCGGAACCACAACCACTTACTGCGCTCTCAAATGTTTCAACAGTTGTCTCATTACAAAATCTACAGTCGGGGACACCCAATCCTTTTGCCAGCTCGGTTGTGCATCTTCCGTCTGTTCCAACATAAGTTCCACGCAAAATCCTGGTACTTCCATGTCTTTTCTTTTTCCCTTTTAAATACACAATATATGAAGGAGTTTATATTTATGTTTTTTTTTTGTTTAAATTTGTTAGCTACGAACGAAGTTGAAAGCTGTGTGGATGGTTGCTCAGTGACATGCGCAGAAAACAACTGATTAAAGAGATGGTGGATGAATAATTAAAAGCCCTGTTATGTGGGTTAATCTTTTAAATAATAAATTAAGCCTGTTTAATATTTTTATTAGCATGAATGCAAGACATTTGGCTGTTTCATTTTCCGTTTAATGTAAGTCTAATCTTGCTGAAATACCGAATTTTGTTTTTTTATAATCATTGGCGTTTAATTTAAGACTTGAAGCTCAGTTAAGAAGGGTTACTTTTCTTTTTAAGTTTAAATTCGATTTGAGATGAATGATTGAATTGATTGAATTCACTTGACTATATTTATTTATCAAATAAAGAATGATTCCGATCATTATATTTAACTTTAAATTTGATTATTCTTATTCGAACTTAACATGTCATTAAAATTTAGGAATAGTAATTAAAAATAAAATATATATTAAAAAATAATCTTTCGAATTTAGTATTAACATACTCAACTCTTAAAAGTGGTTAAACCGATCTCAAATACATTGTTGAACTCAAATAATAGTTTGTGTATGAATATTTCTTTAGTATGATCATTAATATTTGATTTATTAATCGATTAATTTAAATTTTAATATCGTAAAATCATACTACGAACGTGATCATCTTATTTTAATTTAATTACTATGTTGATTATGTTAGGATTCCAAGTAATTTAAAAAATATAACATCTTAAACAATTAGTTGGTAAGTAATAGAGATGATGGCCTTCTCCTATTGAGATTCATAGCATTTATGCAAGTGGTCCTGTTGGCGTCAGTCTTGTCAGAGTTTTAAGAGTGAAAAGGAGCAGTTGGCGTTGAAGAGAGGGAAAATAGCTAACTCAGCTAAATGCTAGTCGGCGTTGCACGCTCAACTCAACCCCTATAAACCAATACTAGGGAATATTTTGCTGTTACCGTAGCTGCGGATGAGTATGAATGTTACTCCAATTCTTCATCTTCGAATACAATATTAATAAACATATTAATATTAAACGGTTAAAAATGGAAAATGAAATTTTGAACGATTAATATATATAAAGACTAATCGGCTATTATTATGAGTTTTGTGGCATTAAATTTAAATTTCTAGACTGTTGGTATATAGAGATTGAGATGGATTAGCTAATCAAAAGGTATAAGGCGTCTAGCTCAACCTATCTTCCCTTCTTAATTCAACCTAATCAAAAGGTACATTGTTTAACACACATAGGGATGTGCATAGGTCGGATTGGGTCGGATTTTTTGTTTACCTAACCCGAGAACAATGATTCCTCCACCCGAAATCTGACCCAACCCGCATAATATATACCCTCCACCCGACCTAAATCCGACCAGACTTTTTGAGATAAAATCTGAACCCGACCAAATCCGACCTAAAATAATAATAAAACATTATTTTTATTCAATAAAAATAATGATTTAATTTAAAAGAATAATATATAAAGGGGTATTATTGTAATTATTCCTAAATATATAATGTAAAATCACAACGGTGTGTATTGGAACACTGTGTGTACATTTTTCATCCAACTCTCGCTAACATAAACTCATTTCACCACACGATGCATAGAGATTCATCAGGGAAATTTGTATATAAATGTAATGGGAATGACCCAATTTTATGACATGGGTCTGAACCATTTGTCCTTCCTGGAAATTGGCTAAGGGCTTGCGAAGGAAAGGGAAGGTGTAGTTAGGGGAAACTTAGGCGCTTTGCATGTGGGCGAACAAAGAGAAAGGGAGATGAGGGGTTTTAGAGTGGGATAAGCCTCTCAATAGTAATGGAATACATGAAATGGTGGTTTTGGAAAGACGAAGGGTGTAGGTTTCATTTAGGAGGTCTAAAGAGTCGCAAGTAGGGATGAATAGAGAGAAACTAGTGGAAGCTTATTTATTCTTAAAAAATTTAAATTTTTATACATTCTAAATAACTTTTTATATTTTCGATTAAAATTTTATTTTATAACTCATTACTTTTTAAAATTTTATAAATTTTTTCAACTAATATAAAACTTTACGCCCCTTCCGGAAATTGATGAAATGCCGAGTTATGAAGTTCCTTCTTCAAGAGGTTTCGTTGAATGAATTAAGCTTGGATCTGACGAATGTAGGAAAGCCACGTGGCGAAATTTATCAAGTGAATGATTCGGTTTGTATACGATGCCATGATTCTAGCGGTGCTAGCTAATGTTTCTGTTTGGTGACCGAGAAAATTATAAAAACTGGTGAAAGGAAATTGGAAATGGATGACGGGCTGGAAAGAGAACGAAGGGTGGGTCCCCTTTTTTTTTTTTTAAAGAAACGACCGATCAACCATGATCCGATAGGACAGTGATACCTTAATATATCAAACGTATTAAATCAACCTTTTTTATAAAAATAATAATTTACGGTTTAGTAATTATTTTTATTATAAATAAAAAATATTAGTGATCATTATGTTAATAATTTTTATTGATAAAAGTATCCAAACTTTAATAAATAATTTTAAAAAGATATACTATACCTGCTTCTATGATTTGATTTCTACAATGTATACTTAAGAAGGGTATATAAAATGCCACTTGTCATGAACAGAATGGAAAGAACATCGGCGCAAATTACCAGCCTCTAATCCTAAGAAACGATTCCTAAATTTCCGATATTTAATCAAATTTAAGATTTGTTTTTAGCTTCAAAAATCACAGCCATTAAAGCTCTGTGCTTTTACTCATATAAATCCTCACAATCTCTCTAAAGGTTCAACAGCCTCTCTGCTTCCTCCAATCTACGGAAATTCCCCTCCTTTTCTCTCCGAATCTGCAAATACCCATATTTCATTTCTCCCTTTTTCTTTACTTTTTTCGAATAAAGAACGTTGTTCTTTTAAAATTATTGTGAATGGTGGAAAGGCTTTGGATCACCAGTAATTTTATGCTCTCCCTTTGTAGATCAAGGGCGAGCACTCTCTTCTCTGTTTCTTCTGTCTCTGTTTTCGCTTTTGGTTCTTGCAAAACTGGCTGGTATTACCGCTGCCTTGGCCTTGACCCATAAATCTATACGCAGGAATACCTCTTAATCTCCGCCGGTCACCCAGATTTAGTTCGATTCTAAGCAAAGCAAAATAAACCCGTTGTTTTTTTTTTCATTTCGAATAACAGGTTTTGGTGAAATATTGGATCGTTTGATTGTTTTATTTTGAGAAAAAAAAACTGAAAAAATGGTGCTTTACAAGCAGAAGAAGACTCGGGATCTTAAGGGCAAAAGGATCTTGATTAGCATCACTGTTTTGGGAAGTGCTGGGCCGATTCGTTTCGTTGTTAACGAAGAAGAGCTTGTTCCTTCCGTTATTGATACTGCTTTGAAAGCCTATGCTCGTGAGGGTCGGCGCCCGGTTCTTGGATCCGATATCGATGACTTCTTCCTTTATTGCCCCAGCGTTGGCTCAGATGGTAAGTGTGCTGAATTGTTTTCACTTCAATAATACGGTTGAAAATTTCCCAGGATTTGTTTTCTTTCTTTGTTGTTTTTTTTGGGTACAAGTCATCCAGAATATGTTTTCTGTGTTTGTGTTCTGATTGCAGCACTGAATCCATGGGAGACAATTGGATCACGTGGGGCACGGAATTTCATTTTGTGCAAGAAACTAAGAAGCGAGAAAATGAAAGATGATGGAAAGCCGAGTGAAGCTTTTAGCAGGAAAGGAAGCGGGAATTGGAAGGCATGGATCAACAAGTCCCTCAATCTTAACATATCTTCCCATTAATACATGATTCCCAACACTTTTACTTCTCGTGTTATCTTTTCTTTTAAGACAAGTACTTGAATTAGGCTATCATTGATGGTCATGTAAACTTGTTTATCTTTTCAACTATATCTCGTTCAAGTTAGAAACGACATGGAATGTTGTACCATGGAAAATGTGAGGACTTTTGAAACCATGGAAAATCAGAAAAGGATGAATAATAATAGAAACCGATAGTAGCGAAGCTGTGGAGTTGATCCAAACTGATCCTAATGAAGAGAGACAGCTTATGCTACTACAACATATGGATACCTTGCTTGTACGTGAATGGACTGTTAAAATCAAGCATGCCCCAGTGAACTGAATTGGAATAAAGTTACACATATTATAGCTAAACACGCTTGAGAGCTCCCAACGGGCCACCATGAATTCATTCAGCCTCTAGAAGTTGTAGCCTCAAGTTTACAGGAGGAAGCACCACCTTAGTTTTCTCATTTCAACAAAAATAAAACCATTTAAATTATAATTAAATAGTATCATAAGATTATAAATAGTTACAATTTAATTTAAATAGAAATTCAAATAATTCGACTCAAATTTTATAAACTCCATTCAAAAATATTTCAAATAAATTTAAGTTATAAAATAAAACTCAATAAATTAAATAACTCAAAAAATTTTTAACTTACTATATCAAAGACTCACTTAAAAGCGTACTAGTGCTTTTATCGTAGGTAGTGGTGTCTTTTCCCTGCCTTGGACTCCTATTGCGGGTTCTGCTGTTTTGGGCTCGTCCTCTGCCAGATTGGGCCTACTAAGTCTGCTGTCCTTTTGTATGTTGCCTTTGTTTCCTTCCCCCTTCTATCGTTAAAGAAAGGATATTTGAATTCAATTTGTATGAGCATGGGAAGTGGTCCTTTCTCACCAAACTCAAACACCCATTTTTTTATATTCATTCATAATAATAATTAGTTCAAATTTTCAATAAATAATAATAACCATAATAATAGAGTTAAATTCTTGATAGTCAGACTGCAAAAAAAAGGAGAAATGATTAGTACAGACTCTAAATCCCAGGATTAATTTATATTATAATAAATGTTATAATTGTATTAAAATGATTTATGTTTTATATAAATTTTAAAACATCAGTGATGGACATATATAATTTAATCATATTGTTATAATGGAATCATGTTTCTATCTATTATTGATGCTGCAACATTATTATGTCTGCGATGAGTCGATGACCAATAGGTTTTGTTGGCAAGCCGTCCTAATTTCGGAAATTATATATTTCTGATTTAATGTAAAAAAAAGTCTAAATTATACATAAGGTTAACTTTAAGCGTTTAAATAATTTTTAGTTAAAAATATATTTAATATTTTTTATGTTACACTTTTAAGTGTATGCCTTTAAATTCAACCGTTAAGTTATATGTCTCAGGTTTATAAAAAATCTTAAAAAAAATAAAATTTTTGAAATTATATGTCTGACATGTGTCACTCAACAGTCAAATTTAATGGTGTTAATGGTCCAGACACTTAAAAGTGTAACGTTAGAAACGTTAGACATCTATCTTTAACGAAAAAAATTTTAAACACGTAAAATTAATTTTAGATATAATTTATACATTTATTTTTATATTAAGCCTATACTTTTCATTATCTTTCAAAACTGATGTAATATCTACTAAATTCAATCGTTTGCGTATACTTCTTATGCTTTTTTGCATTAGTTGTATAAACTTAAACATAACACCCACAATTAAATATATAGATATCCCAAAAATGTTTACACTGCATATATTTTTCTACTAAGTAGAGACATTTTATACTTTTAAGGTAAATATTAAAATTTGAATTCACAAAATAAAATTACATAAATAATTTTTTATCATTTAGCTAATTAATAGATCTTTATACTCTCTATAATGATTAATCATAATAAACTTCACATTAATTTTTCTGTCAAAGAATTGTGTTAGACGGTGACTTAGTATCTTTGTGTGAACCCTAGACTCAGCCTATGCGTAGGGATGGGCATGAGACCTGAACTCGATGGGTTTCGACCTGTAACAACCCGAATTTTTTTTACAAAAATAATATTTAATTGAAATTGGAGGTTAATTGTAAAAATTGGGGACTAAATTGAAAGATTTTAAAATTTGGAGCTTGTGTTAGAGTTAAAGAAAATTCAGGGACTAAGCCCTGAATTTACCCAATAAAATTAGGTGAATTTTGGTTATATATGTTATATGCGTGAGTGGTTTTCTGATTCAAAACATAAAACCACCACCCCAAACCCTACATCCGTTTTCGACCCAGATCCAGACGCCGTCCGAATTCCGATCGTCGTTTTGAAACCACCATTGTGTTCATCATCGAGCGAGGAACAAATCCTTCAATTTAATTGAAGCGAAACGCGGCCAAACATCGGGAATTTCCAGTCAAAGTATCGAATTTTTTTTAGCTCTATCGCCGGGAAAATCTTAAATTCACCGCTGATCATTGCTCCGTTTACGACACCTCCTGCACCATCGTGTTCCTTGTGTCGTTTCGAGTCCGCCGGTGTCAACCTTGTTCGCCGTCGACGGCGGCACGTGAGGAGGTGAAGCAGTCAAAGATTCGGCCGAGTTGAAATCGAGCTCTCCGCCGTTCAAAAATTTGAACTGATCATTGTAAGTATCTCGAAATCGCTCAAAATAATTTTTAGAAATTTTTCCGGGATTTTTAGGGCCCCGGAAGAGGCCTCACGCGCCACACGCGCCGCCGCAGGGAGAGTGGACGCTGCTGGAAACCGGTTTTGATCGTTTTGATCGGTCTTACCCGACCGACCCGACCCGACCGTTGACCCGACCGTTGACCCGACCCAACCCAACCGTTGACTTCCTTTGACAAAAACTTAAAATGGCTTTGACCGAGCATTAAACGACCGTTAATCTTTTCCGAGTATACCTATTCTGATAGTTTTCGACGTCCCGACTCCGTTTCCGAAGTCCGTTTCATCAAATTCGAACCCGAAGGCCTCCAAATTGACGGTCAAAGTGGTTGACTTTAACTTTGACCAAGAATTTGAATTTTCGGAAAGTCATACTTTATGTTTTTCGACGCCCTGATTCCGATTCCGCAATCCGTTTGGCTAAATTCAGACTCAAAATACCCCAAATTGATAGTCAAACCTGGAAAATGCTTATATACTTAAGAAGTTTAGCTTTGAACAATTAAATAGGATTTGAGACTGATAAATTATTATTGTTTGAAGGTACAAGAGACTCTCCGGATCGTTCGACAGCTCGACCCAGCTCTTCTAGATCAATTAAACCACGTGTGCCAGTATTCACAGACCCGTAAATTTTATGATTTTAGAGATCTATTTATATTACTCATAAGTAATATAGTGTTATTGTAAAATAGGTTCGAAAACTGTAGCAGAGCGTGGTGAAACCAGCAATCAGTAGATTTGCTATTTGAATCTATTGTCGAGGTGTGTTCCCTACTTATTACTGAACTGTTTTATTGGTTTTAATATGTGGTACACCGAATTCATTGGTTATTGTTTTATGGATGCACCAATTTAATGTGACAATTTATGGTATATGGCTGCTATCTAATTTTTGTTTTGAAATGGTATATGATTACCATGTTTTTGGATTTATGGAATTTATGTCACGGTGCAATTGAATTTTGGAATTGAATTACGATGGAATAGCTCTGATCAAGCTAAATGGGCCTAATGTGACTCTTGAGGGCCCCAAGATGTTTCATTAGGTCGGCTTTCCTTTGCTGTGTGCTTAGGGTAAGCTATATGGACTTATTGACTTGGGCTTAAGGATACAAGCTTCATAGCCTATCCTTAAGTCAGCTTTCTTTTTGCTATGTGCATAAAGTAAGCTATATGGAAAATAATTTTGAGAGCTACTGATGGTGTACCAGAAAAGGGTTTAAACTATGATTTCCAAAAGTTAAACTCTTTTATGAATTTGTGAGATTTACTGGACTATGATTTGTACCTATTGTGATTTTATGGAAATGTTGGGACACACTGAGCCTAGCTCACCTTTCGAAAATATTTTCCCCCTTTCAGATACTATTGGTTAGATACCTCGGTTCGAGCACTTGGAGGATCAACATATCTCTTGAAGTAAATCAGATTGTAATGTTTTTATTTTGCAAGTTGATTTTATTTTGGTGACATGGACCTTATTTTAAAATATCAGATTTTATAATGATGACTCTTTTGCTATTACTGTTCGGTTTAGTGTGATTTTGAATTTGAAGACATGTTTTAAATTAATTTATTACTTATTGGTACTATATTTACGAGTTGGATTTTGATAGTATAATTTGTTTATAATTTCATGTTATTTATAATGTGATTTTATATTGATGAAATAACGGTTTCGGAAAATGTCTTTAATAATCATAATGTGGTCTACTAGACTTAGTCGAAACGCATAGGCCGGGTCTAGGGGGTTACATTTATTGGTATCAGAGCTTTTGGTTTTTAACCCTCGGACTGTGTATGAGTCCACATTGAAAATACGGTTTTGAAATATTTTAGAAAATGAGTTACTAAGGCCATATCACAAAGTTATTAAGATTTTAACTATGTTCGAGACTCCAAGTGCTTATCTAACCTTAAGTTTATCTTCTGTAGTTATCTCGAGATCTACTAAAATGAGTGCTAGACGTGGTCGTCGAACTAGCCGTGGACAAGGTCGAGTGGCTAGATTTGCAGATCCGATTGATGAGATACGAGTAGATCCCCCACCTCCGATAGGTGATCCTGCTCCTACGACCCCAACGAATATGCCACCTACCGATGGTATTGGCATGACTACACCGATCATAGGAGCGACCGATATTGAATCAGAGACTACTGGAGTTGCATTGGATGAGAATTATAGTAGACAGTTTCTGCAGTTAATACAGGGAGCAGTTAGAGCTACTGGTGTTGTATCTGAGGTTCCTATTTCACAGACGTTGATTGCCAATGGAGTTAGAACTTTTGGGGGACAAATTGGTGGAGCTCCTACTGAAGCTGAGGATTGGCTACAGGATACAGAGAGACGCATGGATCAGTTGGGTTTGGACTCAACTAAGAGATATCTGGGTGCTGTAGC